AGTGGATTGGTGGAAGCCCCGCAGCCGCACATTGGTCCACTCGAAACTGGACGTGCTGCCGATGTCGCCACCGCCGGAGGCCAGAGATGATCACAACGATTGCGAGGACCACCGACACACCCAAGACCGCCACCCACGTCCAGGTAGGGGTTGAATGTGTGGATATTTCTTGTGGGGCCACCGTCGTGCCACGAAGGAACGTCTCAATTCGAGGCCGTTGAGATGACTCTCGAGGTTCCTCCGGACTTTGAACTTTCGCAGTCGTGGTAGGCATCATCGACTTGACATCCGTGGTACTTGACGGTGTTGATGTTGTACTAGTACTTGTGCTTTCTGGGGTGGTGGAAACTGGCCTTTCCGGGGTCGTGGACACTTGCGATGTTGCGACGGGTGTGTCGACAGTGGTGGTCGGTTGAAGGGTTGTGACTACGCACCCACTCGTGGCCGCCAGTCGCGGGACGCACCCCAGCACGAGAAGAGGGCGGTTGGGCAGCGCTTGGCAGCACGACCCGAACTCGAGACGAGGTTGCGGGCCTGGACAGGCGCCAATGCGAGTGAGGTCGCTGCCCCCGCAACTGACGCCTGAAGGGACGTGGAAGGTGCCCGGCACGCCGAGGACGCTGACGTCGATGGCGCTCACAGACGCAGGAAAGTTCGTCGCGAGGGCAACCAGGACGCAGAACAAGACAACGGAGCTCATGTTGTAGTTGATGTCTTGCTGTATTGTTAAGAGATGAGAGAACTAACCACTTGGCACTTGTAACGCAAAATGGATTATGAGCTCGAGGAAGCCACAAAGACGACGTACTTCCTTTTACGTGTAGACGGGCTCTCCGTGGTGCTACCTTTTGCATGGTTTGGAAGGACGCTTCAATTGTGTGACATTTTGACCAAGGGCCAAGTTGGCCATCCGATTGGCTCAAATGTGAAACCGATTTCATGGATAGCCAATCACATCGCCACAAACACCTCGTGGACGTGTACGGGCTCTACGTGGTGCTACCTTTTACATCGTTTGGAAGGACGCTTCATTTGTGTGACGTTTTGACCCAAAGCCAAGTGAACACAAGTGAGTACACCTCAAGGAATGAAACAATGTGATTGGCTGAAAATCCACTGGTTAGTCAATGAGCACAATTCAGTATTTTAGCATTGCTTCCGCAGAATCAGCGACAATGCTTGGAATGCAAGTAGATGTAGGCAATGTCGAGCGCAATTTGTCGCTTAAACGTGTCACAGGAAGCATCACCACGGGTTGTGTCGTCAGCAAACATCTAAAGCAACACAGATTGACTGGTGGCGCGTCCGTTCCGACTTGATTGACAACAGAGATAGCCACTACTCTCAAAGGTTTGACTTCCACTACGGCAGCGGAATCTACCGCTGGTCAACCAACTAAGTTCCAGAGTTTCAGGTGCTCTCTGCTACGACGACTTCCCGACGTTTTCAGTGCTGGCCCGCCCCTGTCGTCACCTTAAGTATTCCCTACGAAAGCCCCAAACTTGCATACATCCATCACTGCTGCCCCCCCTCCAATGCATTTGGCTGATTTTGCTATCTGCAACGTACCATAAGTGGTGGAAATACGACACATGGTATTTGGGGTGGATCAAATTATGATTAATTCTATTAATTTGTCCATTTGACAGCATGATCTGTGGATAGGAGACCAAATATCATGATATTTTTAGGAGACTTTCACGTCGTGTCAATGTATATAGTTATTACGAACTTGATATGAATCTGCACGAGTGATTCGAGTACTGTATCGGACAATTCGAAGTGTGATCGTTGTAGGGTCGTTGTCGCCGGATTGTTGCAGGAACATACCGTGATAAATAGTACAAACGGCACTGATGTTCATCATACAGCAAGAGGTATCGACCACCGTTGGATGATAAAATGCACAATTTTTGACATTACTACGACATGAGGTTAGCGTTGATGGGGCAAATGAACCTTACACCTGTGATCTTGGGCCCGACTTGCCGTTGCCAACTGCATGCGGTAGCACTTGGTGGAGGGAAAGATGGTCGTGATTCTCGACGTGACCGAGAAGTCCCAGCATGCCTCGAAACTGCACGATCATAATGATGCCGGCCAACGGACTCTCCTACGTTTTGAACGCTTGAGTACGATGGGGGCAGCATCCACGACAAGGTTAACGCAAATAGCAGTATCGTCATCGGTGGATAGACATTATCAGCTTCTAGAGCAGATGAGGGCTCGAGCCATATGTGATTCAAACACATTTGCGACGTTGTAATATGTACTAATTACTGTACTTTGGATACAAATCACATTGCCCAACCTAAAAAACAACTCCGTAACCGTGGCCGTTTCATTGTGAAACACTCCCATGCCCCTTCGTCGTGGACGCCGCCCCATGTTGTGGGTGGGCTTGTTGGCCGTGGTTCTGTTCGCGCCTGGGCCGACTCGAGCCATGTGTGCCAACGCATGCTCTGGTCATGGCTTTTGCAACTCGTTCAACGTATGCGATTGCAACCGAGGGTTTACTGGCGGCGATTGTTCCCTTCGTACGTTCGCCTATCCTCTCCTCTAAAAAATGACATTATTGTTTGGTAGTGCGTTGTCCTGTTGGCAAGGCGTGGGGACTGATTACCGCCACGGACACTGCGCATCAAGTACGCCCAGAATGCCCGATTTCACTTCCATGACACTTGTTAGATGGCGGAATGTTCAGGTCGGGGAACGTGTGTGACCTCGTCTGGAACGTGCAGCTGCCAAAACGGGTTTGAAGGCAGTGCTTGCCAACACGGTAACTAACATGCGTTGGCCAAGCCTGTATATTGTCCATTCTGCTCCATTTTGGCCTTGAAAATGTACTTCGTTTTAGTTGCCGTACAATCATCTATGTGTACAAGAGGATTGATGAGGAATATCACATTTTGTACTTTGTACCCCTTTGCTTGTGTCGTTCGTTAGCTACTTACTATCTATCGTTAACCCATCACTGCGTTTGCTTTGGTAGTGGCTAAGCAACATTCGATACAACCCTGTATAAGCCTATGATATTTGATATTTGGCCGTTGTGGGTAGTGATTTGCTTGGAATCCTGCTCTTCGCGAGGAAGGTGCATCACGATGGAGCAGCTGGCCAGCGATCCGTTGACTGCGTTAAACCTACTGGATAAGCCACCTCTGGAGTACTCTTCATATGTGATGTGGGATGCTGACATGATCCGCGGGTGTCTGTGCGACGATGGCTACGGCGGCTACAATTGTCTTATTGGTACATACATTCTGTCTTATTGGTACATACATTCTGTCATATTGGTACATACATTCTCTCTCTACATATCTCCATATCAACATACTGTTAACGTCCAATTCGTTAAACATCATGACTTTACTCGTTGAAACGGTAGTTATTAGAGGGGGGCGATAGTTTATGTTAATCACAATATCATGGAAAAAACATTATTTTATATGTAGTACCCGGGTCAAAATCATGATATTTTTTTATATTTTAAATGTGATATATCATTGGTAGACAGATGCCACGGGGGCGATGATCCGTTAACAACTGGCCAAACCGAAGAAATTCAACTCGTGACTTGCACGGCGTCGTATTTGCAACACACGATTGCGCTCCAGTACGACACCACGCCCACCGCTGGTACAGATAGATACAACTATTTTCAAGAATATATTTTTTGGATATATATATAGTAATATATATATATTTGGTAGGCACGTTCGTGTTGAAATTTGGCCGGTTGCGTACCAGCCCCATCAACTTCAATGCGCCAGCGTCGGCGGCGTTGGGAACGTCCATGACTGAAATGCTGCAAACCCTACCTACTATCCCAGCAGTATGTTAGGATAAACATCGATTTATTAACTATTTTAGTGAAATATATCTCAATATATACTTCAATTTGTCATTTAGGTGACGGTGGCTCGACGAAGCACTGCGACCGCGACGTTCTGGGACTTGTCGTTTGCCCCATCTAGTGTGGAACAGCACAGCTTTCAGCCACGTTGGAGGTACGGTCTATATTCGTTCCTGCTACTACATCATTTTGCGTTTAATTTCAGCTTTGTTTCAATATATTTCCACCACCACGATAAGTTTTACATCCGCGTGAAATGTCATGGTGGTTTTGTGTGAATATATTTATATTGACGAGCCGGAGAACAATACACCGGATGTTGGCAGAAAAAAAAGAATAGGTCCAAATTTAATGCAAAATAGTGTTAATAGTCTCTATCGTTGTTTTGATTACGAATTCGACTTCGTTGCTGTTATTTTTTCTTCTGATGAAATAAACATATATCTAGGATAGAATGTTACTACTAGTATCTCATTGCGGGAGCTCTATCATTACGTCGTTGCTGGCATGTCCTGTACACAACACTGTTGTCTGTGGTAGGGTTGTGGAAGTGCAGTCGTTCTTCTGTGCAGCGGACTCGGGATATCTGTCACTTCTGTACAACAAGTACTTGTTTGGGAATATTCCATCTACCGCCCTCGCCTCGGATCTCAAGCTCAAGCTCGAGTCATATGTGAAGATTGGCACGGTCGACGTCACGTATAGTTCTGGCACGACACTATGTCGAGCTAGCGGCAACCAGGTACGGTGGTTTGGGTGAAGATGTGAAGTATTTATTTATTATATTTTTTATTGGTGAAATATAACCCTGTCCCATCCATCATTGTTCGTTGTTATTTAGGTTACGATTGCGTTTACGTTGATGCGAGATCGCGATTTCATTGGCGACTTGCCGGCGTTGGTCGTGGATGCAGCCAATCAGGGCCAGCGAAACGGCCTCTTCCTTGGTGGCCTCGCTCCGGTACATATATATATATATATATTTGCACATTTTTCTTTTCAAACAAGCAGTATACGGATATATATATATTTATATTCATGTATTGGTCTTCATTTCTGTGTGCAGACAGTAGATGCAGTAGCTACTGAAATCGTAAAGGGAATTGACACGTGTCACCGCGTGGAAGTCCAAAGCCTCACGTGTGGGGCCACCTCGGGCTTTTTTTCCTTGTCGTTTGAAGGTACCATTATTATTTTAACACTGTGAATAATGCGAAAATTATTCAGCCAAAAATAAATATATGTATCATACGAAAAATATGTGATATATGTATACCACTGTAATGTTGCGATGCCCGCAGACTAATTTCGGTATTACACCAATTACAAGGGGCTCTGACGGTATCTTTTGTAGGTCGCAACGTGTCGAACTTGCCCTACACGATAGCCGCCGCCGACTTGCGGCTAGCTATGCTGGGTGCCTTTCCATC